AATAAACCTTGACACAGGTGTGTTGACAGATGCTTCAATATTTTGGCGGACCCATAACACTCATAGACACCAATCCACCATATCCAGGACATCATTTTTCATCATCACAAGATGCCACCACAACCCTCGTCGTCCGGACAACCTTAATGCAAACTCTCATCGGCTTTCACGTCCAACAGTTTGTGACCTTTAAAATGGTATATAAAAAAAGTCAAAAAAAGAAAAGAAAAAAAGATGACAAGAAAAAGAGCAGATTTTCAGCTATTGTCGCAGGATTCAAATTGTTGGGAGTCCAATTGTTGAAAAATGGAAAACAACTTTTTCAGTATTTGTTGTCTTTCAATAAACTCCTTGTCTTTACTTGAATAAAATGAGGATTTGCTCTTACAAGTTGATCAATCATATGATGTTTTCATGCTCACATCTCTTTCTACACTTATCATAGCATTGGTCTACGATGAGCTATTGAAACATTCAAATATTATTATAAAAGTAGTTGCTTCTCGCCTTAGCGAAATATTCCATATCAAGGCACCCAATAACCCTTATAGTGATGGGACAATGCATGACATCTTTTCATTATTATAACATTATTTGCATCTCTCCCCGACAAATCATCAAACTTGTATGCTAATGGAGTTACGATACTTGAGACAATGGCTAATGTGAGGTATTGTATCATCATATTGGATCCAAGCAGTGAACATATGATAAATGACAAGTTTCAACATTTTCTTTTAGCTCGTAAGGAAAACTCATTTAGGAATTTTTTTTTTTTTACATCAATAGAAACAATTATGACTCTTATGTTGGAATAAAGTGACAATATCTCTTTGGACTAGATTACTCTTCTTTTGGATTGTGTGAAAAAAAAAATAAAGAAAATTTTCCATTTGCAATGAATGTAGTGAAAAGACTTTCAGAGAAATTTACTAACACGATCAAACCTTATTTATCACACTCCATTTACACAATGCATAAGAGTTTTGAATAGTGTTCTCCTATCTTGATCATAGCTATAGTCGATATACTTAACACTAACATAGTTGGTGAATTACTCATAGGAATGCCACTGAAGTGAAACATTACGTGTCATTGACATCATGCTAAAATTGATACCGCTATTCTTTGCATGACTTTCACGTTGACTTTATTTTGGTGTTACCTCAATTGCATGATACTCTTCCGGTTGTCATATTATTTTCAAGATCATTGTTCGAATACATACGTTTCCTATCAATATTCGATTATTATCTACTAATTACCGTCATATTTTGTTAACTCTGATTAGGGATGGCAAAAAAATCCGTTCAATTCAATATCCGCAAGGTCCTACCCTGAATAGGGCGGGGATTACTGGCCTAATTGAGTAAATAGGACATGGCTGTTGCCCTGAAACGGGTATGGAAAACATGGTCCGCATCCCACTACACATCCCATTTAATGTTAATTTCAAATTTAAGTTTTTTATCAAACAAAAAGAAAAGATTTATTATCATTTTTAAAGAGAACATGAATTGTTTTTAACAAATTGGAAAAAAGGTAATAATATTCCATAACTAAAGACAAAAAAATAAATACAAAAAATAAAATAAACAAAAAAAATGGGCTCAATGAACGGGGTAGGGGACATGCCTCGGGCTATCTTGATCTCATCCTGAACCTGCCCCACCCC